GGTCAAACAGGACCTGGGCGTCTGTGTGCCTGGGTTGGAATCCTGGCTTTGCAGACTGGTTAACCTTTCCGAACATTAGCCACACGAACAGTACCTACCTCCTGGCGTTGTGGGAGGTTGAAAAGAGGAAACGCCTATAGCAAGCGGGATGCCTGGCATCTGGTAGGCACGCCATCCATGCTAGTTGATGGGGGAGCGTTAGGCGAGCTGAGGGGCCGCGCCCCCCCCCCCCACTCCCACCCCCAACCAGGTGGGATGTGTGCTATTCCTTGGGCGCTCCTGGCTGCCCAAGAATGAAGGAAAGGGGAAAATCAAATGGTTAACTGATAGAGATCATAGTCCCGCAGGACCTCAGTCTCCATCACCCCTCCACAGTGATGTGGGGAACGAAGGCAGAAGGAAATGGCGGATAGAACTAAATTTCCTTATAACCGGCTGCCGCCCATTGACAAATACTTGAGGCTGGCAGAGTAAAACGTCCAGGAACTCCTTACTGTCTTAATGCTTTGCTGGAAAAGAAAAACAACCTTAGCCTGACAGTAGCCAGGCCTCCAGTATCCTGGGAGTCTTCTTTAATATATGAAAATCTCACCGGAAACTTCCCCTGGACTTTACCTCCCCCCAACCCCATAGTATATACCCAGTCTCTCCTCGTGGTCCCCGGGGCAGCTCTTCCTGCCCACGGGTCCCGTCCCCGTGCTTCAGTAAAATCACCTTCTTTTGCACCAAAGACGTCTTCAAGAATTCTTCCTTGGTCTTTGGCTCCAGAACCCCACTTTCACTCCAAAAAAAAAAAAAAAAAAACACCTCATCACTAGCTGTTGTAATTGTTATTTTACTCGAGAACTGTTCGTGATTCTGGAACTGGGGGGTTCATGGTGCTGGAGGAAAGGGTCTTCCTTTGGTCTTTGTTGCCCGCCCCAAACTGATCGGTCTTTCACTGGTGGTTCAAAGAGAAAAGGTATGCATTAAGAAGTCTGCAGCTCCTCCAAGTGAATAGGAATGACACTTCAACTCCCTTGCCCCTACTCCTGGAGAAGTCCGCCAAGTCTGGTCACTGAACCAAAGACACACACTTAGGGAAGCCAGTAGATAGACAAGAATCGTAGAGATGGCCCAGACCCAATCAAAACTCCCACCTGCAACTTTTGTTTTGTCTCCCTGTCTCGATACTTTCAAACATGATACCTTGCACCCAGATTAGTTTTAAGAACGAAGCGTCTGTTTTAAAAGCAAATACCAGGGGCGCCTGGGTGGCGCAGTCGGTTAAGCGTCCGACTTCAGCCAGGTCACGATCTCGCGGTCCGTGGGTTCGAGCCCCGCGTCGGGCTCTGGGCTGATGGCTCGGAGCCTGGAGCCTGTTTCCGATTCTGTGTCTCCCTCTCTCTCTGCCCCTCCCCCGTTCATGCTCTGTCTCTCTCTGTCCCAAAAATAAATAAACGTTGAAAAAAAAATTAAAAAAAAAAAAAGCAAATACCAATTGGAAGAAAAAAAAAAAAAAAACAAACAAACAATCCCGTCCATTGCCATCCCCGTGGCAGTGAGGTTTACGGGGAAAGAACGTGGGATTTGGTAGATGGGGCTTGGATCCAGCCTTTACCTCATACGGGTTGTGTAACCTTGCAGGACACCCAACTTCTCCTGGAGATAGTTCTGTCTCCTGTTCAGTAGCTCCCAGGGCAGGGGTGGGGGTGGAGGGGGCGGGGAAGGGAGGGTGCTGACTATGCTCATGTATGTAAGTGCCTAACATACCAAGGTAGTCAGCAATTACGGGTTGCCTCTTCCAGAATCAAACCATTCCCTCACTGCCGAGTCAGGCGAGCTGAGAGTCACCTGAGAGATGAGGCCATTCTACACCCCTACCCCCAACCCTATAGCAGGTCTTTGGAATCAAATCTTCAATAGCCGGCTAAACACACAAGGGGCCGCTTCCCTTTTCCCTCAACTATGAGAGGTGAATTCTGCCTCCACGCGTTCAGATAAGGCGGCTCAGGTCTGTACTGGACCCCGCCTAAGACCTTTTATGCAGTTTCACACATGTTTATTACACCCAGTTCTCATCCTGGCTAACTCACTCCAGAACACGTTTTGAATGTCCTGCCGCCTGTGGCGGGTTCTGCAGCGGGGTGGGAGGGTCATTCCTGGGGATGTTTGGTCCTTTTCTCTCTCTTGGTGCTGGGGGGGGGGGGGGGGGGGGGGTGGGAGACGAGTGGAAAATAATCTCTTTAAATGGTGACATTTGCTTAATCACGTTGACATTTTTATGGTATCGAAGCCCTGCTTACCGAAATAGAACTCCAATGAAAAGGATAAAGAAAGCTCGGGCTTAGATTTGGACACCGCTGTTCATTTTTAACTTCCTTGAGACACACGGCTCATTTCCAACTCTGGTCACCGCACTGAATCACAGTAAGACACTTTTTTTTTTTTTTTTTCTCTCCTTTTCCAGCCAGTCAACAATGACACCCAATTTGACTAGGAAAAAAGATTCCAACTTAAAATATTCTGACAAGGTTCAGGCATGCCAAAAACACAATGTTCTTTAATAAGAGACTGAATTGGTACTGCAGAAGAGTTCATAGTAGGGCACGAATGTTCATTTTCTGAATTCTTAGAGTTTATTCAAAGCCTGCGGTCCCGGCTCTCGGAGCACTGGCAGGGGGTGCGGGGGACATTTGCGAGGGAAAATTTTCAAAGTTGGGAAATGACATGAATTATCAGGAAGACAGCATGTCACGAAGGGCAGATTCAAACCACAAGGTGCTTGTCTGAAGCAGCACTTGCCGTGGCACGCATGAGCAGTAAGGGCCGCTCTGAGCCAGGGAGAGGCACGATCAACAATCGCTTCCTAAGGTGACGGACGGTCCATTCTGCAAAGAAACTTCTCTCTTCTGGAACTGGGAGTAGAGGGAGGGGAATTAAGAAGCTAAACCGGAAACGGTGCAGGGGTTAGAAGCTAGGCAATGACTTCCAAGCCCCGTAAAGTTAACGTGGACAATGGTTACCAGCCTTGGGAATAACTAAGGAGGGACAGGACCAAGAGACCTTCTAGAACAAAAAACGGTAAGGTTCTTTGACTTCCTGATACTAGTAAACATACTAAAATGGAGAGCAATAGATCCCAAGTATGTCCCATGGGGCCCTGTGTTATCGGTAAGCAGAGACCGTAGGCAAAGAAATTTGGTGGTGGGGGGAGGCACTTTTAAACAAAGTAAAATGGGTTTCTTCATTGTCCAACCTCTCAAAAGCCTCAGCAAGCTAATTGCACGATTTGATTTTCCACGAAACAGGGTGTCTTATTTTCTATGTTTATCTAATGACCGAACTTCACATTTTTTTTTTTTGTCTGTTTCTTATAGAAAGGATTACCTTACTGTTTCGAAGATCCCGATTTGGGAAATAAATATGGAGTTCCTTGTTTATTATTCTGCCATTACATACTTCAGAAAAGAATTACTCTTTTGTATCATTGACATCTCCACAGTTCCTTAATTTCTAAAATCAGGAATTTACTTTCCCCATGACTTTTGATCAGACTTTAAGGGAGTATTTATCCAACTTTAAGAAAGAAATCCATAAAAAAATCATTTTCCTTTTGAACTGGGTGTGGATACAAAGCCATTACCAAAAGAGGTTATGAAACAACTTGATTGTTAAGGATGGTGAAGAATGGGGTAGAGAACTTTCCTTTTTGGGTGAATTTGGGTGAACTACCAGTGAATAAGAAAATGCAGCCCAAATAGCCTCTCACACGCTACAGATTCACCGTTCTGTGATTTAAAACACCCACGTGTTGCGCCTACATATTATTTTCAGATTTAATTGTTATATCACTTACAGTTGATGTGCACTTGCCTAACATAAATATTAAAAAAAAAAAAAAAACACCCGGAATCTACTTATGTCTTTTTTTTTTTTTTTTTGCCCCTACTTTAAGTGCCTAAACCAACCCAGAACGCCCTAGGATGTTGTCGAAGTGGTGACCAAACGCCACCCACATCTCCAACGTCCCCTGGGGCTTCCTCAGGGGCCCTTCACTGAACTGGGAACATAAGTTTTCCCACTATTGTCAGCCAAAGCTTGAGTGACCCGGTATTCTCGGGGGATATCTAAGCGCTGCTCAGCCCTTCAGGCTAAGGCCCCTCAGGCTCCCCTACAGCTGGAAGAGCTACAGGTTGGAAAGACAAGTTAGATGCAAAAGACCTCTACAGTCCATTTGTCTCAGGACGAGAACGGCTTCTTCTCGTCTTAAGACTACTATCCTCGAGGTGAGAAAGAGCAGAAATTAAATTTGACAAAACAGAACACTCTCCGTGTTACGCTTCATGCCATAATAAGTCCTGAAGTTAAAAGTTTGAAGATGTGGTGTAAAATGTAAACACGAATACACTGTGGTGCTCAGTAGTCCACGTGATTAACGAATCGAGTCAGAGATCCTACTTTCAATTCACATGCTACAGAGATTATTATCCCAGAGGCCATATCCTGTGACGTTAGGATCCAGGGAAAAACTAGGGGTTTGAAAGTCCAGACTTATTAACCAAGATCCTCTTGTAGGGTGGCCAAAAATCAAGGCTCTTCATTAGCAAAGACCACAAATCAAACCCCCCACATATTGACCTTTCCTTACTTTTATTGGACATTGGCCTTCAGCAGGTGACCGAATGCTCGAATCCCGGCCGAGGCCTCCCATACACACGGGAGGCTATTTTAAAAAAAAAAGAAAGAAAAGAAAAGAAAAGGAAAGGGAAAAAAAAAGGACTCTGCAGGGCAACGTGTGAACTAATAGTACAGATCAAAGACAACAACTCACAGATATTTACAAACTTACACAAGCAATGCATACTTGCGACTGGTCCCTATATGGCTGGACATCCTTTCGAATCAGTATGTTCTGCCTTGGCCCGAGATATACACCTAATATTTTTTAAAGGTTTCATTCCTGATCATGGAAGCATAACCTACTCATGTTGCAAATAAATAAGTATATTAAAAAGAAAGCTGAGTTAAAAGTTTTATTCATTCAACATCTCACATTACAAATATTTAAAAATTATATGCATACTGGTATAAATAGTCATTTGCAAACTATTTAATAACATTAATTTTCCACTAGCACTTCAACAAATGAACTCTTTTAAAAAAGGAACTGTGTTATATAACTTAAGAGTAGAACATACAAAAATAGGAACTTAACGTGAAAATGACTTTAATAAAAAATGAATTACCCTTATTTAAAATGCTATAATAAATACTACAACCTCCCCATACACAGTAAAAACTATATGGAAATTCAGCCAAGTAGTACAATTAACTGACATACTTAAATAACTTTTCCTTCTGATAATATGAGCAATACACTGGAAAAAAAAAAAAAACATTAGGGATTAGTAAAAACTAGACACCCACTTGCTAAAAGTTTCACTTCCAAAAAATATAACAAAAATCTGATGAAAATTATAAAAACTAATTATACTTTAAATTTTAAAAATATAAAAAATAAAACAGTTGAATACAATATTGTCCCAATTCTTACAATGCTATCAATCACAGTAGCTTTAAAATAAGATAATAAAATAAAGCAAATGACCAAAACCTCTTTTATTCCATTTTTAAAAATAATCTCAAATTTACATTAGTAGAAAGATTGATTTCTGATTCTTTTCTTTAGAAACACCAGCAAGAAAGAGGATTACTCTTAACAGTAGAAAATGACATTTTTAAATGTCTGCAATTAAAAACAAAGAATTACACTGCAAAGATCTTTCAAAAGTTTGAAATAAGTATTGCACATAACTTGAAGTTAACTTGCCACAATTCATCACATTCAAGTTTTAAATCACCTTTTAACAGAAGATTCAACTCTTCAAAACAAAAGGGGTGAATTATCAAGTCTTTCCAACAGCACTCTCATAAAATGCTAAATTCATTCACTGCAAGTTTTATTTTGCATTCTGCAGAGGTCTGTGTATGGAGAAGTATATATATTATACCAAAGCGTGGGGACCAGAAGGGGAAGGGAGAGAGGGTTCCTTTACATAGAAAATAATCAGAAACACTTTATTTTACATTGCAAAAATAACCATGTAATTACTCTGTAACTACATTGTAAGTACATGGCTGGTGCCATGCTAGTGTGCTAGAACTACATGCTTGGTAAATTGAAGTGATACCCTAAAATCTGTAAACTAATTCCATGTTAATTATGTTTTGAGTTACATGGTAACTCCCAACTACAATCCCGTGTAATCTGAAGGACATGTAATCAATAACGTTCAGAGTAATAGATAATAATTGTTTATGCCCTGTAAATTGAAGTGTAACCAAATAATCTGTAAACACGCTTGTCACACAATCACAAGTAAATATTAGTAGAATAACAATTTCTTACATTAGTCATGCATACTAACATTACACACCTGTCCCACGGCAGGCTATTTTTTTTTTCTTTATATATAATTAAAAGAGCAGACATCTCTGAATCAAACACTTAACATCAATTTATTAATATTAAAAATGGCTAAACATTCACCAAGAATGTCTGCGTTGTGAATAATTTTAAAAACTTAGTAAGAAGCTGTAGACAATTTTGTTATTTTAAATTTCTACCCTATGCTTATGCGTTTAATTTTTTGTCTTTTTAGGAACTACCGTGTTATCTGTCATTTTCATGCGAATTTTTTTTCATTAATTTGTGACTTTACATAGACTATTTCTTAAATTATAGGTACACCAATAGCTGGTGCTGGGGAAGGATGTTTAAGCAACATGCTTTCTCTTCTCTGCAGACTCTAAAATAGCATTGCCAGTGCACAACATTCATAATTTAAAATGTATGCAGAGCACTGAAATGTATAAAAAGCAGAATATAAGAAAATAAAATTTATTAAAATTATTTATATTAAAAAATGAAGTATATGAAGATCTCTCAGTAATAAAAGTACAAAAAGCTACTCTTTGCAATATGAAAAATTGAGGTATTGCATAAAGAGATATCCCGTCAGTGAAAAGTGTGCCTAAAAATGTTCACTGTTGGAAAAACAAGATATACAAAAGTAGTGCATAACAAATATACATTATGTGCATGACAAAATAAGTTAGCTACAAAAACACTGTACCGAAATTCAGCAGGTCATGTACAAAGGGAAAAATTATTATTCAAAGCTAGTTCTCAAACAGTGTTATTTCTTGTTAACTCATCACACCTGTTTACTGAGTAGGAACAGTACAATAGCACACCCCAAGCCACCTACAAGCATCGAAAAGAATAAAAAGAGGCAAATGAACGTTTCGGTTAGAATTATGTCGTTCAGGAGAAAAGAAAAAAAAGTCCCTGACCAGCTACACAAGAGCACCCTCCATTCGCATGACTGCTTTCCGTATTTGCAGGGAATTCTTTAAAAGCAGCTCCCTTTCTGTGTCTGACCATTAGACAGCATATGCCTCCATTTTGACCTTTGGAACTTAACAGGTATGCAGTTCGTTAAAGCCTGTGTTAAAAATAAAGGACTGCTTTTCCTAACGATAATCAGCAGGGGTCATCAGCCAGGTGGTTCCACCGTAGTGCTGGGGCAAGTCTTTGGTTTTGAAGGATCCAAGACGGTACTGTTAGGTAGCACAACTAGCAGGATTTTTTTTAATGTTTTGCACACCGGTAATAATCCTTTTGGTGGTGGGTAGGGCATTTGATAAGAGAATGTCAATTAAAATAAAAGTCACTTCCATGACCAGGGCTTCAAGAGACTATTTTAAATTTACCCCTGAAGCGTACTGTTCAACACATAATAACGCCTTTCGAAGCTAGAATTTTATGTATAATAAAGCATGCATTACTTGATGAAGTTGGCACTTCAAACACTGACTATGTCCCATGCTAAGTTCTGAAACGGTAATGTTATTTTTATTTTATAGGAAGAGTAAGATAAACATACGTACCTTTGCACAGATTTACACAGTTACTTAGTTCAACAGTGCAAAACACTCTGCAACTACTTAACTTTTTTTTTTTTAACTTTTTTTTTTTTCCGTTGTCTATGTTACAACTAAATTACAGGATACCCAAAGCAACTTTAAATCTAAAAGTAAGCCAATCGGCAGCCAATTTGTATATTGGTTTTGTTTCCCAGTTTTGGCTACAATTGTACTGTTAACACAAAATCAAAACTGATGTCCTTGAGGTATCTCTAGATCCGTTCTGTTCTGTTTTGTTTTTTAACGTCAAAATGGAGAGCAAAGGCTGACACCTGATGAGTGTTTACTAAATTAGGATATAGAGTTTATATATAACATCAAAAATAAAATTTATACATTTGTTCTTCGGGGGGGGGGGCCCCCGGAAATGCTAGTTTTCCCACCAGTTGTCATTAATTCTAGCTTTGGTAGGTTTCCTGGGGCCGTGACCAGACGAGGAAGTTTAAAAATAAATAAGTGCACTCCCCTCAGTAGTACATTTACCCAATTTTTACATTCTAAAGGTTTTAAAATGGTTGAAAAGAAAATAAACCTAGCTCTGCCTACTTTACTATTTTTTTTTTTTTTTTTCTGCTGTGGTAGTAACTCGGAGGCGTCATGAAATTCTACTCGGCCTCGAAACCCTTACAATTTGTTCTAATGCTGCTTCGATCTTGCTCATGCATTTGTGTTTGCTTTAACATGCTCTTTCCTGTTAATAATTGTTAACTTCCTCCGCTGCTGTAAATGAATAAAACGGCGGCGGGGCCCGCCCCCCCCAAGGGCAAAAAAGAGAGGCAAAAAAGAAAGAAAGGAAAAGGCAAAAGCACTTCTCTGGGGGAAAAACTGTGTCAGGACAGACTGATAGTGTTACTGTTGCATGGTTAATTTTAATAAAAGTATTCTTATATGTTATATTATTAACAATAATTTAATTAAAAACCCAAAATACTCTATTGTTTCATTTCTCTTTTAATATTTCTCTTTCTCCTCTAAGAAAATGTTACAGGAAGTTTTGGATCCTCTTGGTCTCCAGCAAAACAAGAGAATAAAACTTCCGTGCAACACGATGGCAATACGAAAAAGGAGTTCGTACGTACTGTTTTCAGTGACACGAGAATCTACAAAACGCCTATATTATAGGTCATTCTTTTTGTTACACTATTGTTAAGTTACGGGCTGCTACAAAAGGACATGCCAGCGTGAAGAGGTCGAGGAAGGGGTCAGAATTAACAGAAGAGTGCACTTATTCTGAGGCCTGAAAATGAGCACTGTAGTCACCCTTTAGTTCCAGCGGAATGAAATATGTCGCGGACGGTCACCGCCTTCCTTCACCAGGGGCTTGTGGAACTCCCTGCCAGCACGAGAATGAATAGCAGCCCAGCAATATTCACAGTAATACTGCAGACAGGTAACGTTAGCACAGAAAAATGGAGCAAATTTTCCACCACAACGGGCCCCCTGACATTCATCACACAGCTGATCATCCAAGACATATGGCTTAACTTCCACCTGCAATCGAAAATAAAAGGAAGGCGTTTACACTTCTCAGTGAATGGTCCAGGCACCTCTTGCTGTGGTGCGTGCACTTCCAACCTCTGTCTGAATCAATCTGTGCCGGGGTGCCCCGAAACAAGGGTCAGTAGCTCTTTTCCTGAAATTAAGGCAGTCCGGTCCATCGTTAAGGACCTGGTGAGGCTTTTGTACTCCTCATTTTACATTTCTGTCTTATTAAAGAAACACTTTTCAAAGGAAAAACAATTCCGCCAGAAATAAAAAAGGGAAGCCAACTGTTTAGAACATTACGAGATTAAACCCACAGGAGCATTTTTATAGACACAAACCATCGCTTTAATTAGTGGATCTGGATTTTTGTCATATGTGGAATTGTAATTTGAACAAAACCGACGAAGGGCTTCCCAGTTCCACAAAACAGCACTTCAATATTCACATCAGAGGGAAGATGCCTGACTCCTGTGTCATAAGCGTCTAAGTTGTAATAAAGGCTGGGTCACGGTTTCTATTTACAGCGGGCACGTCGTGGGTTATAATCACCCAGGCTCGGAGCTCTGAGCAAACAAGACGCGGCCATAGTACTCACAGTCTAAAACCTCGCCTTATTCTCTGTCAGTAAGAATGGTTTACTTCAGTCTAAAAGTCAGAGGTGAATTTCTAAAACTGGGTCTGTTCCAGTGTTCAATAGGCCAACCTGTCATTTGAGTCTCTCAAGCATTAAAAATAACCTGGCTGTTAATTCACCAGTGAGAAAAGAGTTGGTTATTTTTAGTCGTAGAGAGACTCGGGGTTAAAATTCCCTTATACCAGGCCATCACTACCACCGGTGCCATGCAGTTGTGACAAGGAATCCTGACAAAGGTTAGCCATGAACAAAAGAAGACGAGTGACAGGAAGACGGGAAGAGCAGACAAACCAGAGCATTAGCCTTCTGGCCCCGAGGCCACTCCGTGACATCTATGGAGCTGCAAGAACGCTGGTCAAAGGGCTTGATTGCAGAGGAATACAAATGAAGTGTGCATTTCCAATGACTAACCTTACACCTCTGACACCTTTGCTGGGATGAAGCGGCGAGACAGGAGACACTGCTTGGTCAGACGTAGCTATTTTTTCAGTGAGCTAAAAGCATGTGGGCTTGTTAACTTATACTGCAACGTGTCTTGCCCTCTCCCTCCGTGTTTATGTTAGAATCTAGACCTTTCTTTTCATACAGTCACAGCATGACAACCACTATAACCTTGTATTTCATACCGACACTGTAGCAGCGTATACATGAAATGAAACATAAGCAGTAAGTGTCAACCACCGTCGCCTTGATAGTTTCTACATAATGAATTGAGAACAGCACGAGACAATCAATCAGGAAGGACTTTTTGGAGCACAACGCCTCAGAGTGTTGATATCTAAGTCAGTCCTAATGAAAGTGCCAGTCTCCCATGAAATAAGGAGCTAACACCAGAATCTAAATCAACACACTGCTTCTTTCATCAGGAGGGTCTTTCTAGGGGGAGAAAAAAAACCCCAAAAAACCCCAAGTCAGCTGAACTAATCAACACCACGCTTCCCAATGTAGCTGATTCACATTCTGGTGTAATGGTGTAAACTCCTATCTCACCACAAGCCAGTAACCATTTGCTTCTGGCAGTCAGTTCACAGGCCACACTTTGAGCAGTGTCAGTATAAGATACAGTTATATCTATCGGAACATCAACTCCTCAGGAGATGTTCCCGAGAAGAACATCAACTACTTGTCCTAGGTGCTAAAACATCTGGTGAATGCATGAAACACAAAACTAAGAAATAAATCTGTGAATGCAAAGAAATAAGACGGATAACGGAGCACAGAGCTTCGAATACAGTAGCTTAGAAAACAGAGGAGAGCGCTCTCTCCGAGGTTTTCTCCAGCTTTTTAACTCAGAAGACAAACCAACAAAGAGGAATTTAAAGTATTGAAGATAATGCTAATTACTGCCTAATTTCAGGTGGTAGAATACACTAAAAATAAAAAGATTATGATTTCTTTCACTTAATCTGTTTCAATGAAATATTTCTAACACAGTCCTACAAGTGAATTTATTCAGTCATTTGTTACATAGCACACTGGAAAATAGGGCTTACTGAGATAGTCATGATGTCTCGGGATTAAAAAAAAAAAGGTCAGGGGATCTCAAGGGCATTGATGTTTGTACTTGATATAATGGTATTTACTGAATGACTAACTGAATAAGTGAATGGATGGAGGTGATAGCTTAGGAGATTAAATCAACCACAGTAAATTGATGCAGGGCTCTGATTAGGCTACTCAAGAAACTAAGAGACAGAAAAAATTCATAGGAACCCTTAGATGCATTAAAGAATATACACCTAACTGGTCCTACAGGCATAACTGTCAGCTGCCAATTTTATTGCCATATTAAAATTCCCCCATTCCAATCTTGGTAATGACACACCGAGAGGGCCATTTCCAGAACTTTCCAGAATGTAATCTAGGACTTACCCGTTTATCTATCTCTCCGTGCTGCAGCTGAACAAAGCGGGCACTGATAGCAGCTATGTAACTCTGTTGATTAGAGAATGCGACTCGCCCAGCTCCTTTAGGGTATTTCAGCTCAGGGTCGGTATCAATCCCCGCATAGCACACACCTCCATACAGACGATCCATTATCATGGCAAGCTCCACTAAATAAGAAAGGAACAAAGACGGCATTTGAAATCAGGAAAACCCATCTCGCTCACCAAAGGTTTCATCAAAAGCAGTTCATATGTATTCTGAGCTCACGTCCTTATGATAATTATTAAATCAATCTTTAATCTTTTAAATAAGGGCAGGGGCTCTGCTGGTTTGTTTGTTTGTTTGTTTGTTTTTTACACGTACGGTCTCTTTTAATCTTCACAACCCTATGAAGTAGGTAGTGATTTCCTGGGGAAATTGAGCCACCGAGTGGACGTTCAATCTGTCCAAGGTCACAGATGGTTAAGTGATAGTGCTGGGCCGGTCATCTTGGTCTGTCCGCTCTCTACCATGTTGCCACCATGGCTTTACAAGTAATAATGTATTGCTTAATATAAATAATCAGGTGAACGCTAGCAAATTGATTGTATGAAGGTCGTTCTAGAATATCTCCATGAAAGCCTTGTTACCTTCCCTACAGTCTAGTTTTCCACCAATTTTTTATATAAAAACTTGAAATAATGAACATATGGTGTTCTCCATGAGATGTTTAAATTTTGAAACTGCATTCTCGTTCATTTTTATCTTATCTCATTTATACTATTAAACCTCAAATTACTTGAGGTCGGGGATGAAATTTCTCCTGTAGGTCCTACTTTTAAAGACATGATGCACTGCTGAAAACCCTCCCATGTTTCAGAGCTCAGTAAAAGCCGGTGGGCAACTGGGGGCTTGGGAAATAAACCCTGAACATCTCGACATCTAGTCTACTCTTTCTTTTTTTTTTTTTTTCAACGTTTATTTATTTTTGGGACAGAGAGAGACAGAGCATGAACAGGGGAGGGGCAGAGAGAGAGGGGGACACAGAATCGGAAACAGGCTCCAGGCTCTGAGCCGTCAGCCCAGAGCCCGACGCGGGGCTCGAACTCACGGACCACGAGATCGTGACCTGGCTGAAGTCGGACGCTTAACCGACTGCGCCACCCAGGCGCCCCAACATCTAGTCTACTCTTGAAGGGCTCTTCCAGATGATGACAAGAGTGATGCTCACTAACACAACACGGAGCCCTTGGCCCTGCTCATCACACTCAATCCTCAAAACTATCAAAACTCTAAACGAAGCAGATACACTTCTTACTCCTCTGGACTGATGAGGACATTGAAAATTAGAGAAAATAACTTGTCCAACGTCACTCAACTATTAACTGGGAGCAGGGCACATGAATTCAAAGCCAGATACTTTGATTCTAGGATTCTCTTGGACATTAACTCAAATGCTTACGGAGAATTTTTCCTAAGATATCTTTATAAGGGGAGCGCCTGGGTGGCTCAGTGAGTTGAGTGGCCGACTTCTGATTTCAGCTCAGGTCATGATCTCCCCATTCACGAGTTAGAGCCCTGCATCAGGCTCTGTGCTGACCACGTGGAGCCTGCTTGGTATTCTGTCTCCCTTTCTCTCTGCCCCACCCTCGCATGCATGCTCACTCTCACTCTCTCAAAAATAAATAAACATTAAAAAACAACAAAACAAAAACTTTATAAGGTTATTTCCTATGCTAAAGAATAAAGGGGGTATTTTTGTTTGTTTAATCATACCAGCTCGTAATGGTCGAGGAACACCACCAACAAATATAGTTTTTCGTGGATCAAGAGGCTGTGAACCATCCATCACAAAGTCACTGTCACTGAGATTCCAAGGCCGAATCTGCACCTAGGGAACAGACAAACCAAAATGTCTCATTCTTAACGCTGACAATTTATGGAGAAATAAGTTTAAAATTACTGCAGAGTATTTGAAGAGCAACAACAATCCACATCATTATAGATCAATAAGGCTGTAAAATTAGAAGACTTACAAATAGCATAGCCCAACCCTTCATTACATTTTTAAGAGTAAACCAAGTGATTTTTTTTAAGTGAACCAATGTTAAGTGAACCAAGATAGAAAGTTCAATTTCATTACCTATTATAAACTAAATCACTAACACTTCTTTAATTATCGCTAATTAGCTGTTTTTCACATTATTTGGGCTTCCATCCCACCCAATCCCCCCAAATCTACATAATGTAAGTTAGCATGGTATTTGAGGTTAATCAGACTACAGTGCTAATGGGGCGCCTGGGTGGCTCAATTGGTTGAACATCTGACTTCGGCTCAGGTCATGATCTCACAATCTATGAGTTTGAACCCCGCGTTGGGCTCTGTGCTAACAGCTCAGAGCCTGGAGCCTGCTTCGGATTCCGTGTCTCCCTCTCTCTCTCTGCCCCTCCCCTGCTCATGCTCTGTCTCTCTCTCTCTCTCTCTCTCTCTCTCTCTCTCTCTGTCAAAAAGAAATAACATTAAAAAGAAAAAAAAATTAAAAAAAAAATACAGTGCTAATAAGTAAACTATGATTGTGTGCCCAATCCTACAAATGCAAACTATTCCTAATACTAACAAACCTGTTGCATTATTTCAAAAAGCACTTCAAAGTAAAAACATTAATATTTGCACATAGCAATGGGTCCACTGCTTCAGCCAACCAAGAATCATGTATCTCATCATTTATTTATTGTTACAAATGCCCATACCAAAGGCTATGGGTAGGTTCATAGTGGGGTATTCCCAATATGCCCATCAACAAAGTCCTAGGCCAGAGGTCCAAATTCAAATACTGTGAAGACTATGGGGGAACATAAACAAGTCAGGTATAAAGAGTCTAGGCCATGGGAACTCTGGGAAGAGTGTTCCTGACCTAGACAACCCCGAGGGAAGCTCCACTAATTACTGCTTGAGCAGTATGAATCCACAGGCACCTCCATTCTGAACTGCACCCCATTACTAGATCAACCTGAGTGATAATCAGTTGTTGATTTGCCAGATTTGTCAAAACAGGACAGTTGCTACTATTCTTAAAGACCAAATTTTTTGATTAAAAAAAATTTTTTTTTTCAAAAAGAAAAAACCAGGGGCACCTGGGTGGCTCAGTCGGTTAAGCATCCGACCTCGGCTCAGGCGTGATCTCACAGTTTGTTGAGTTCAAGCCCCGCGTCGGGCTCTGTGCGGACAGCTCAGAGCTTGGAGCCTGCTTCAGATTCTGTGTCTCCTCTTTCTCTGCCCCTCCCCTGCTTGTGCTCTGACTCTCTCTGTCTCTCAAAAATAAATAAACGTTAATAAAAATTAAAACGGAAAAAAAAAAGCCATGTACCTTTCTCTGTATACATAATTCATTTTACTTTGGGAGAATACCTTGTGCAAAAAGTTAAGGACATTTATTGGGTAAAATTTTGATCAAAGAGAAGAAGGAGATAGACAAAGACGTATTTGTGATTTTTGAGTTCTATTACTCAGAGGAAATTCAGCTACTTTATCAAACGTATTATCGAGTAAAGTCTTTCAATGGTAAGGATTTACCAATATTTTAATTAACCAAAAAATCCAATGTCAAAAGAATGTGCACGAATAATACAGAATGTCAATGTTAGGAGGTTGACAGCAACAACATTCTACTTACAAACTTATCCATTAGCAAACACATCAAGATGTCTGTGGGTTTTCAAACCAAGCAGAGATGGAGGCAAAAACAAGAAGCTATTTTCATGTTAGACAACACTCACTGGCTTATCTTTGATAGTGGGACTGGACACACACAGGTAGAGCTTTCCATCTTCTTCAATACATGCATCAATCAGAGCCTGAACAGAGCTTTCATCTTGAAAAAGCAGGAAGGCATAGCCTGATAAAAAGGGGAAAAGAGGCTTATTTGTTTCCCTTCTTTTTTTTAATGTAATTCTTCAACAGAAAGGGAGTATAAACTGAAACTAAGGAAGAGAAAAAGAGTAAAAAAAAAAAAAATTAATAAACTTAAATATTCCTACCTGAAGTCTGATAGTATCAACATTAAAGTTCAGTTTGATATCTTGAAACGTATTTTGGAGTAAAATGAAATTTGAATAGAAAGTACACACTAGGTAGAAATTTTAAAGATGTATTTGGGAAAATATAAGTTTAACAATGGAAAATTTTAGAGCAAAGATGAACATTTATGAAAAGGCTAAACATTAAACAATGTAAGGATACACTGCACATGTATATTAAATTTGGAGAATTACCTTTAGGAGGAAAATAGGATTTGCTCTCTGCTTTATGAGGCCAATCCACAATCAAAGGGCCAAAGCGACGAAAACTCGCTGTGATCTCATCTAAAGAACAACAAAGCAAAACAAAACAGTAAATGTAAATATTTTTGTAATCATTTTGGGGAAGTAGTTTAGAAAAAAGTTTCAAATCTATTTACAAGAATAGTACAAAGAACTCCTACACCTCCTTCATCTAGATTCCCTAATTGTTAGTATTTTACACATTTCTTGCCCTTCTTTCTACCTGTATGTATGCATGAAATCAACCTATCTACCTACCTACCTACTTAACCTATCATTTTTTTTCTGACATCGCGCTCAATAACCCCAAAACACAACCGCTGGCACCTGCTCAAAACAAGGCCATCTCCCCATCTACCACCATGTGACCCTCCCAATCAGGAAATCAATATTCATACACTATTCCTACCCAATTCAAAGACTCCACCCAAATTTCAACCCAGCCCGGTAGTATCTCCTTTTCCCTTTCTGATCCAGGATCCTATCCGGGACACGTGATATATTTAGATGTCCTGTCCCAAGGGTGTCAGTATTCTCCAGTCTTGGAACAGCTTCTCATTCTTTGCTATCTTTTATAGCTTTGGCAGTCTTAAAAGGATAGAGGCCATTCATTCTGTAGGATGACTCTCAGCCCGTACCATTTCCTCACGACCAGACTCCTGAGTAGACTACAGGAAAATAAATTTCCAAAGAAGTTCTGGAAACAGTAGGTAAGCGTGTATAGATAAGACCCAGGAGGAGAGCAGGTCAGAGGAAAAGAAGAGATGGGAGATGTGCTCAAATTCCAAGCTGGTAGAACTGTTTTTCTCTCCTCCAGATTGTGAAACACTACAGTCTGCTCTCCTCTGGATGCCCGTTTCTGCAGTACCATTTAGCTCACGTAAGAGAGACTGGTAAATAGAGGAAGGAAATCAGTATAACCTAGAAGTTTTACTGGCTCACAAGTGATTTTTCCTGGGCACGGTGAGCTAGCATAGTGGGAGGAGAACTACCACCTTCCTCAGGAAAAGAAAAAGCCCCTAGCTTGTCGGATATGCTGGCAGGAGCCCTCCCTCTCTCTTGTAAGAAAATTACAAATGAGCACAGCGACCGGGGCTCTCTCGCTGGAGAGGTATACTCTCAACCTTGCAGGGCTCTTTTCTCTGGAGTGTTTGCACCTTCTCGGGTGCTGAGGTCCAGTTACATCTGCCCTGCCTCCAAGCTTGCAAGCCAGCGTTTCTGCTCTAGTGGTTTTGTGCATTTTCAGTATTCCTTGAGGTAACCTCCAACCATGCTGACCTACTTGCCTACATTGTCCAAGTTATCTCCGGACATTACTTTCCTTTTCGCTGGTGCTTCCTAATGAACTTGGGGTACAAAGTTCAACAGGTTCAAAATTAGCTGCTTCTAACCCTATTTCTCCAGAAACCCTATAATTGTTGAGGTACCATTCCACATAGCACAATATTCTCCAGGACCGCATATTTCATTATAGAAATAACTTATCAGTATGCTTGGTCTTAAGGATAATGCAAGACGACTACCATAATTCCCATTGATTTTGCTCAGTTTAAACCATCTCCTTTGCCAGGTTAGTTATATTTACCTGTGCTTCTAAGAGTTTTAGAAACTGCACATTTAAGATGGCTCAGTAATTTTCCAAAGAAATACAGGCTATCTAGGCCAGGAAGGAGTTTATCCCAGGCAAGGTCAGGTTAAATTCAGTCGTCTCTCTCTTTTTGTATGTAAGCATGTAATTCACTCATTAAACACCATCTGGGCTATAAAGACTTTAAAAGGTTAAAACACAAAACAAAACAAAAAACCACCTAGAATCTACGGTACTAGGGAAAATGAGGATTCCAGGCAGAGAAAAGAGAAGGCTGAACTTCGGAGCTTACTTAGAGAGGCCAATTTTGTGACCACGTGGTGAGCCCAAGATGAACACTTTGGAAACCTGTGCCCTCTGACGACAGGATGGAGACTGATTCAGTCTCACCTGAAATCCCAACACAGCTTCATAGATTAAACGAAACAAACAAAACAAAAGAGAACTGTGTTTATTTCAGTCTTTGGCTTTTTGAAACCTTTTTGTCTCAACCTTCCAAAAGATTGATCATCTTCAGGAAAATGAAGTGACCCAATACATTTAATCTCAGCCTAATGGGAAGCCATTAAACCTTATTATTAGACTTTACAGATTTTTAGAGAAAACTATTCTCCGTAACATTAATTGGTTTATTTCCATTTCCAATTCGGTGAAACCAAGACAAAAGAGATTAGGACAAACAACAACGCCACCACCACCACCAAGGATATATGGTTGCTCTATGGTCTGCACCTTGGGTCTTTACTAGGTCATTTAGACCCACAGAGGAATAAAATATTACTGAACAATTAGTCCTCTAAATCTCTGCATGGCTGGCTCCTAATTGAGGTCTCAGCTCAAATATCACTTCCCTAAAGAGGATTTCCTTAACCACCGAATCTAAGAAGATATCACCGTATCACAAAATAGCACAGTATCACACTATTTTCTTTTCAACACTTACTCTCTGATACTTTCTTACGTGGTTGCACACTATTTTATCTGCCTTTCTCCACTAGAACTGAAACTCTATGCAAACAAGGACTTTCTATCTTGGTTATGCTATAAACAAGCCTAAGAAAAGTGCATGGCATTTTAAAAGCCTGTAAATATTTGACAAGTGAAAAAATACTCCTTGAATGATAAAACTCTGAAGATTCCCTTTCTTGTGGTCCTCCTTCAGGCTTTATTTTCCAAAAGTTCACACTTAACCTAAGATTTTAAACGTTCAGGGGCGCCTGGGTGGCGCAGTCGGTTAAGCGTCCGACTTCAGCCAGGTCACGATCTCGCGGTCTGTGAGTTCGAGCCCCGCGTCGGGCTCTGGGCTGATGGCTCGGAGCCTGGAGCCTGTTTCCGATTCTGTGTCTCCCTCTCTCTCTGCTCCTCCCCCGTTCATGCTCTGTCTCTCTCTGTCCCAAAAATAAATAAACGTTGAAAAAAAAAATTAAAAAAAAAAATAAATGTTCAATTCACCACATTTATGGGGCACTCATAAAAGGTAGGAAACAAATAGGAAAACACATAGTGGAATTTGGCCAAGGCAGCCCGCACGGACGAAAACGCAGCAAGCACTGTTTGCCCACAACAGACTCCTTGAGCCGGTTTTCCAGTGTTTACTCTTTTTCATCTAGCACAATCACTTGCTTCAGCTGGTGTTGCCAAAGTCCTGTTCCCCTTCCTCCGTAAACTACTCTCACTTGCCAGGATAGAGAGCTAGAACAAAAGAATCATGCAAATCAAAACAGAATACCTGGAGTCAGATAAGGTTGTTAGTATAATAACAGCCACCACCATCTATGAGTTACCTACTATGTGCCACAGTAGGCACCGTGCAGTTAACCGTTCTTTGTAAATATACCTTCATCGATGTCAGGAGGTAATCCGCCCACGAACACCTTGCGAGAGTATCGTTCCACTCTCTCTCCATTCTGGTGAGTGAAGCAGTGAGGTGAACCCAGGCCACTATGAAGAGGTTGATCCCCACGGCCATCATCCAAGAATCCATCTTCCATTGGAAACAGTGAAGACTGACCTGGAATAGAAAGCAGGAAAAAAAGAAAACGCTAACAGCAAATGTTCCTTGCCACCGATTACCTTACCCAAGAAACCAGGAAAAGGGCAGATTCAACAAAACTGCTGCTTTTATTTTTCTCACTAGATAACAAATCGCTTAGATAGGCTCTTGAATTCCCATCGCTCTCAAGTCTCAATGGAGTCAGAGAGAAAAGCACACGGTTAAACAGAAGACTGCTCAACTAGCCCCCTGGGATCCAGAAACTTCAGGGAGGTGAACTAGAAGTATAGTAGGAGGGAGCACTCTCTTTTGGAAGCAGCTGGCAGTAGACAGCACTGCCTTGGCAGGGCCCCATGGTCACGGGCAACCTAGACATGTATACCAAGTATTAAGTTTGACTAGCAGATGCTAGATCACTTGAATTTTTCAAAAATACAGAATGACATAGCCTGCCTGACCTCCTCTAAGACTGTCCTTAAAATGCACAAGTCCATTCTTAAAGTGAGCACTCACCTTAGTTTACCTGAGTGGGTTCTAATCGAAACCCATTTAATGCTGCCCTCCAACCTCACTGTCTAGTCTTACAGAATTTAAGATTCTTAGGCATGCTAACGATCTATTTTCTTTCAGTTTGAGTAAGGACCAGTTGCCACCGGTGCCAGCTAATTCTAAAAACTAGGCATTACGTGTGCGGTTTGGAAATCCTATGATACAGAAAATATAAGCGGAAGAGACCAGAGACGCCCAAGCGGTTCACATTATTCCCCTGTGTACTTGACCGCAAAACATGAACGTTGCAAATCGTAAGCGAAAACACAGAGCTACAAATAACTGTAGAATCTCTCGAGCGCTGTTTTGGGACTTTCCGGGCTGCCAATTTCCTTGTAGGTACTAGCTGAGGAGTTTGTTCACAGATCCTACAGAAATGTAGCGGTCAGTGCTCTTCCTCCACTGAAACATTCCGATGTCCCTTTGTTGCCACACTTGCCTTCCTCTCGACCTTCCTGACTGAACGCAAATAATAACAGTGTACTCGCTATGAATTTATCCCATAAAACTATAGCTCAAGGGCTATGTAATGAAGATAAAAAATGACTTTGGAGGTTATTTCCTATATGGTCTTTAAAAGTCACTTCCATTTCAGAGTTGAGCTATCTGACTATCCACCTTGCTTGTAAAAAGGCAAAGCTATCACAGGCGTCAAAAATAAGGTTTATTCAGGTACCTCTAGGAAATGGTTCTTTTAAATTCTCTAAAATTTCTCGAGTTTTTTCCTCCAGTGTTGGAAATGTATAGGATTTGTCATTTGTGTAGCTAATCTCATTCAGTATTATGCTGAAATTAGTAGAGAAAAGTAGACATAAGGTATTCAAGTATAACAGAGCTTCCAATATGATCAGGCACTTTGAGACTAGTCACCCCACATTTTCCTTTTTAAAGATCCTTAAGTTTCTTCTCCTAAGAAATTCCTTTCAGCAAGGAAAAAAGCAAAATAAATCTTCTGATACAAAGAAGTTGAGTTTATAATTCGGGGACATTATTGATTCAAATCCAAATCCTACCATGCTGACTCCTTCAAATTAGAAAGTCTATAATGCTGACTATGACACATAATGTACGGATCAAAGCTACGGTGCGTTCCCCCGCCCCCCCCCTTCCCCACAAGGGTTAGAAATTGAGTGAACTTGGGTCCTCTCCAAATACAACTGGTACATTCAAAAGTTAGAAACAATAATGTTACCTCTCCTTCGCCCATATGTCCTTGCTGCATGTCAAATGAGAAAAAAAACAAAAAACAAAAACAACCTTTCAAACATTGTCAAAATAATCAACTGTGATTTCAACTACCAGCTTCTGAAACTGAAAAAAGTTGGCTATGCTCCGCATTTCCTAGTAAATGTCTCAAAAACAAGGAATTTGGATGGTGAGAGGTCAATTTAATACACCCTTCTGATTTGTTTTTAAGTTCTTCGAGAACACTGTAAAGCTGTATTGAATTTTACTGGTGGTAAGAGAAGTTTTTGGCTATAACTGTCACCCAGGATCCAAACTAGGTAACATGTAACACGATCTAAACTGACTCCTACCATACTGATCTTACATTGTCCCAGAATTCCCTGCTAACTAGCAATTCAGCAAATATGTCAATATTTAATTCAAGACTTTTTCACCACTACCGGATAAACAGCAATTTTACACGATGGCTTGATTAATCCCTCATAAAGAAAATTGTAACAAATGAAATCTTTAGGCAATTTATAAACTTCCTTTTAGCCAAAGGAAGTTTCTTGTCCCTTGTCAAATTTCCCACCATGTCCCAAACGCTGAAAAGTAAAAGGTCTGGCATTTTATTGCCAAGTAGTTACGGCTAAGAGAAGTATACAATATACTGATACATATTTCCTTGAATATCAGGAAAAGGGCAGTACAAACTTTCGATCAAGAAGCTTTTGAGAAAATGGCTCCCCTGAAACCAACTGGCACTTAAAAGCCGGGCTTGCCCAAACACCTGAAACCAATTCAACATTGCTTGAATGCCTGATCTGGCTGGGCACTACAGACAAAGCACACGGCCCTGACTACACAGAACTAGCAAACGTAAATGCCAGACAGCCGCATAAGCAAATAATGATAAGACAGCATGCCTACTGCAGCGGTAGTTATGTGTTAGGTGCAACAGAAACAGAGGAGGAAAGCAACTGGCTCCGATTAAAGAGTCAGGGAGAGGGGGTGTGGCACTGGAGCAGGAGATGGGATGGCACGTGAGACTTTAAGGAACAAACAGAGGAAGGGCACTGCAGGCCTAGCAATGCAGCAAATAGGAGCGCTGTCATGGTCAGGAAAAGGTGCCTAGAACAGAAGGACATGGAACGAGTGAGGACCTGGCTGCAGAGGAGTGTTCAAACAGGAAGTCGGGGTCGATTTTTGAGTCAGAAGGTGGAGTCGTACCTTGAAGAGGTCATTATACAAACTGGTCGGGGTTTTAGTTCTTAGCCCACTAAATAAATGCTTAAGATGTTTAATTCAGTTATAAGGGAGTTGTAACTTAGAAGCACTGTGTGGGTATTTTCCAAAGTGAGACTGTCTCATACAAAATACATGTTCTGGGCCGCCTGGGTGGCGCAGTCGGTTAAGCGTCCGACTTCAGCCAGGTCACGATCTCGCGGTCCGTGAGTTCGAGCCCCGCGTCGGGCTCTGGGCTGATGGCTCAGAGCCTGGAGCCTGTTTCCGATTCTGTGTCTCCCTCTCTCTCTGCCCCTCCCCCGTTCATGCTCTGTCTCTCTCTGTCCCAAAAATAAATAAACGTTGAAAAAAAAACAAAAACAAAAAAAAACACACAAAATACATGTTCTCCCACTAGTAGGTAACATTGGATTTCACCAAAATACTTGAACAAATGGATTAAAACCACATAAAATCTCCCTCAACTAGGTTTTCACTTTGGTAGGTCTTAAATTTGGGGTGAGGGGAGGTATTTTCTCAGTTAACTTGACATAGGTTGCAAAGACAAAGATATAAAAACAGGTGCTTGTTTAAGAACATTCTAGTCCTATAACTACTTCAATGACAAGGGAGTTTGGGAAAACGAATGATTTGAAAATCTCGGTTCTGTCAAACTTAAAAAGTTGACTGATGCTACTCAGATTTCTAAGAAAACAAATATTTGAAAAGAGTAGACTTTTAAAAGCTATAAAATTAACGTAAAGCTCTCATAGCTTCCACTTATCAAAAATAAATACACTTTCAGGAACAGTAAATGCTATAGATTAAAGGCAAAAATAAAATCTCAAAAATCTTTAAATGTATACTTCCAAATTTTGATCTTATACCACAAAATTAAGCTGGTTAATACACAAGAATTCATGGTTAAATTCTGAAAACTATTCAGAAATGCTTTCCCGCACGGAGAAAAACAAGGGATAGGCACACAATGCTTACAACCACAAAAACTGTCAGATGAGGTAGGGAAATTAATATAAATTAGTGCCAAAAGATAAAAACAATGATATTCTAGAACACAGAAGAGAAGAATGTTTATTTCTACTTATTGCGCTGTTAATTATACATTAGTTTTAATGCAGATTTTGACATGACAAAATAAAGTATACAGATCATTAAGTACAGAGTCCAATGAATTTTCCAGAACGTGAATACACCTATGTAACCAGAACCCAGATATTAACAGAGTAGTAAATGGTGCCACTTCATCCTACATAGGGAAGATGTAACAAGCATCTTTTTCCCAACTATTTCAAATTATACTTGGCTTAAGATTATGATGATGGAATACTTGAAACACAGGTCTGCACCACTTTATTGAGGAAAATGTCAGATTTGAATCTCATGATCATCAAATGTTACATATTATTTCATGTTTCTCAAACATCCAAGGAAGTGGTGGGTAAAAAAAAAAAAAATCACTTAAATATGTATAAAGAAATCTACACTTTGGAAAATTCTAGCTAAGTTGGCTGAAATAAACTCTGCCCAGATACTTCCTTTAATTTTCAAAGGGTACACTGTTAAAGATATTTGTAAAATGCACGCTATTATTACACACAAATCTTCTAGTCCCCATATGATTTAAAATGACTACTATTTGTATGTTTATCTACTTTTATTATAATTTCTTAGTTTTTGCTTATAAAGTCCTCAATAATTTCATGTTCAGTATTAACATGATTCAAGAATGCTCTAAATGGACTGGAAACATTGTAGCTATAAATTATTTTTTAATGTTTTATTTATTTTTAAGACAGAGAGAGAGCATGAGTGGGGATGGGGCAGAGAGAGAGGGAGACACAGAATCCCAAGCAGGCTCCAGGCTCTGAGCTGTCAGCACAGAGCCCGACCCGGGGCTCAAACTCATGAACCGCGAGATCCTGAAGAACCAAAGTCGGATGCTTAACTGACTGAACAACCCAGGTGCCCCATAGCTATCAATTTTTATGAGTTCTAGATGCATGCTGTTATGAGGTCTATTGATAAATACTTTCTCTCCAAAATGTCTCCACAGGATTGCTTACAAATGCCCTACATTCATCATTAAATTCCCTCTGGTAACATTCCAGTACTCTGGGATGCTAGATTTGCAAAGAAGGTAGAGATAGACTTTTCAGATCTTTTTTCTATAGATCATTACAAAAATGAAAATATTATTTGTTTCTTATAAAGTATCTTTTTCTCATTGTTTCTCATCTGTCAAACATTTCTCATTTCTTGTCAAAAAGAAACAAGTATCCATAACAGTGAAACAATCTTAAGAAGTAAATACCTAGCATGTAGCCATTTTAAGAGTGGCAAATATTCATGTGCTGGTATCTAAAGCTCTCTCAGAGAGTTTCCATGAGTTGCCTATGTGTGTACTGTATGGTTCACAACGTGTAAATTTAAAAAATAAAGAAAATACAAATAGGTATGTGGGAATTTGCATAAATCTTTTTTCTAAAAACCACAAGAACCTTCAGGGAGAAAAACTGGCATGGGAAAGAAAGAAGGATCTCACTTCTTGTTTTATCCTTTTCTGTATTATTTACATTAATCAACTACATTACTATACTCGCTCACAGATCGTTTTTGGTTTTCTTCTTGGTACTGACATTAAAAGCAAACAAATGATATATTAAAGAAAAGCAACTTTGTAAAGAAGAGGCTTTAGGCCATGAGGGATAAGCGATTACTACGTTTTAGGAGGCAATGAAAAGACTGATCACACTCCGGCAACTCTGGCCTACCTCAGGCCTTTGGTCTACAACTCTCGCTGCCCCCAAGCTGAGAAAACAGATAGCAATTCTATTTGGAAAAACAAGGGGAGAGGGCTCAGAATAAGAGATGTTATCGAACAACAGATTTTTCCAACAGGACTAAAAAAAAAAAAAGTATGTAGGGGAATTAGTCAAATTAGTAGTCATTTAAAAAGATATAAATCAAAGGCTGGAAGCTAAAAGAATGAAGATGGTAGAACCAAAAAGCAGGCAATCATCATAAAGACTGGGGCCTACAATTCAACAAAGAGGCAGAGAATCATCTTAAATCATTTTATAAATCTACCCCTAACGTAATGGACGCAGTGTCCCAAATTTTAAATCTACGTTTCACAGTTAGAATCTCCTATGTCACGTTGGCTTGTGTTTACGCTAACTTGTTGGTATGATATTCAGAGATATGGATAAGATGAGACAAATATATTATGTGTGAAGAGCTATTTTAGAGAAGGGCAGAGAATGTGACTCTCGTCTCTCTATATCCCCAACCCTCAGTTTTTTATAAAAATGGAGAGCTGATTAGAGAATAACAAAAGATAGCCTATGTATATATCATGACCACATAGTCAGATGTTCAGTAAATAGTAATTTTCTCCCTCCACAAAAGTAAACTCATGTGTCTATATTCTGAGGTTGGTCTTCAATAATTACTCTCGGCTTTTCATTACTATTCTAAGGCTAACAACCGCAGAGCACTTTAGAGTTTACAATGTTTTCATATTATCTTTTTCAGGAAGGCATCTTTCAACATGCTCCTTATTCTAGCAACTAGAACCATATTATATACATTTTCAGTAAGTGACTATAATCTACTTTTCTCCTGGGTAAATTATACCCTCTCTCTTTTCATAGATTTCTGTGTATGTCGCCACCCCCCCCCCCACCCCACAGCCCTGCAACCCTTAAGCAAACAATCTTCCTCCTCTCATTCCAAAGAACTATAATTAAGAGTTGTTGTTCTATGCTAACCTTTAAAAGATCTCTTACGAATCTCCTATCTGGGACAAACAAATATTTTAATGGATGCTTCCAAGTAAAAGACATCCACAGAGAAAAGGAAATACATACATGAATCTGTTAAAACCTAATATATTTCGCTGTTATTCTATAACTTTCCCTGCCAGAAGTTCTATTTTTGAAGCAGTTAATCCTATGGGCTGAAGCAGCGGAATGGGAGGTTGGGAAAAAAAAGTGCCAAGCTCAGGGGCGCCTGGGTGGTTCAGTCGGTTAAGCGGCTGACTTCAGCTCAAGTCATGACCTCACAGTTCAGGAGTTCAAGCCCCGTCATCAGGCTCTGTGCTCTCAGCCTTGCCTGAACTCTCTTTCTCTCTCAAAAGTAAATAAATACGCATTAAAAAAAAAAAAAGTACCAAGCACGAATACTTTTATACAGAGGTGGTGGTAGTTGTACGTTAGTCTTCTCAGGCAAAATAAATTCTCAAGATGGGTAAAGGGAAAATTAATCTTTTAATCTGATGTCTGTCTCAAAGCTACACCAAGGAATCTGAGGAACCTGAGGATAGTCTGGCCCAAGCTCCTTTCTGACTTGGCTGAGAAACTGAGTCAGTTTCAGGCTTGCTTTTCGTAACCATGAAATGGATGTTCTAACTATATTCCTATTACATAAAACTTATTTGGAAAAGGTATCCGTTCTGGGATGAATTGTGTCCCCTTCTCAAACTTCCTATGCTAAAGTCCTAACCTCCAGGACCTCAGAATGGGACTATATTTGACAACAGGATCTTTACAGAGGTACTTAAGGTTAAATGAGGTCATTGAGGTAGGCCCGAATCCAAAATGACTGATGTCCTTATAAGAAGAAATTAGGACACCATTCATGCAGAGGCAAAATCATGTGAACACAGGGAGAAGACAGCCATCTAGCCAAGGAGAGAGGCCTCAGAAGAAATCAACCCTCCTGGCACTTTGATCTTGAACTTCTAGCCTCCAAGACTGGAAGCTGGAGTTTATTTCTTCCGAGGAAAAAAATGTCTGTTTCAACCACCAGTCTGTGGTACTTGTTCAGGCGGCTCTAGCAAATGAATACAGCATCCAGAAAGTAGCTACGAAGTTTGGGGGTTTTATACACTTAAAACCCAAGGATTTCCCCTGTGAATGTCCCTTAAAAAAAAAATCTCTACAACTGATAACGGCAATAAATTGAATCATTCCCCAGAATGTGCACTACAACATTCTTAGCATAGTTATCAATTATTATCTGTTGAATTATACTTGCAGTGTCTTTTAAAAGTCATGAGTGGTATATGAAGGTCACTGCATAGTATGAAAACTGATGATTGAGCATGGCCAAGGGGGAAAAAAGTAATTTGATCTACCAGATGAGTAAGCCCTTTTTATCTCTGTACATGCAAATCCCAACACTACTCCAATATAAACTCAATATAAACTGTTGAAGCTGGTAGACCACTCTGAACATTCTGAATCTTTTTTTCATTTATTGAGGATTTAAACCCTACTTTTTTCCAAAAAGAACTTGGAGGTTGCTTGAAAATTTCCAAACAAATTGTACGATAAAAATCATAGTCGAAATTCAGAGGTTCACGGGAGAAAGAGTAAACAATTCTTACACATTTTTATCCGAACAAAAGAGAAATGTCTTTCCACTCAACAGTGGCTTGGAAGAAAAAAAACTCTGAAACACTGCAGGTTACACAAAGTCGAATAGCTACATAACCACTTTTATAAAGGTTTTAAAACACGAACAGATGATTTATGGTGGGCAGGGAAGGAAAGCTCCTATAGTTCCTTAAAGTCTTAAACTTAATAATGAATATATAGCAGCACAATGAACTAGGCTGTTATCTTCAGTGTTCAGAAAAGACTGCAAGGGCATAAGACAGGAAGGGACTGTAATTCAAAATGAATACAGTAAGTTTCATGTTATCTATTTTAATTTTGTTTAACGTTGATTCATTTTTCAGAAAGAGAGAGAGCATGAGAAGTGGGAGGAGGGCAGAGAGAGAGGGAGACACAGAATCCAAAGCAGGCTCCAGGCTCCGAACGGTCAGCACAGAGCCTGACACAGGGCTCGATCCCACAGACCACGAGATCACGACCTGAGCCGAAGTCGGATGCTTAACCGACTGAGCCACCCAGGCGCCCCTCTGTTAATAATCAGACAAAGAAAGCATGTTCAACTGTAGACAATTCTTAGACTCCTCTTAATCCCTTGTTTTTTCCTTATAAATTTTTAGCATCTATTCCTAACCATTCTAATTATTTTAATTTGACTGTGTGCCATGTATTATGCTAAGTGGTTTACATGCATTTCATCTCAATTCTGTGAAATGGGTAGTATTCGTGAGTTTATCTTCATTAAGTACAATTAATGCTTTACACTAGATTTCCAAAACATGAGCTAAATTGACAGCAAAGTTACTAAAAACGCAACACATGAATAAGAGTAATTTATCTACAGAAGCAATCCACCATAGAAGATGCTTCATAAATCTGACTGAAGAGAACAGGCAATGCCCCCATCTAATCAAGGTGACTGAAAACTGCCTCAACGTCCCTCCGTCCCCACCTTGTTTCAATTCCAGGATTTTAAAGTAATCTGCTATAATCTGGACTTTGCTACCGGGGAGAAAATGACCCTGTCAGCCAACTCCAGCATCCGGTCAACCTAGTTTTACTCCGTATTAAAAATGTATAAATTGGCATCTGGTCCTAGTTGGCTGGTGATTAAAAACTGACACTTGATCAAATCTGACAAAATCAAGTTCTAGGACCCTCTGAGATGAACACTAGATCTGAGACTACGGTAGTCATAACCCCACCCTGCGATCCTGCTTAAGGAACCAGTAAGTTCTCCCTCTTTGACATCTCTTTGTTCTTTATCTTCCTACCTTTCAGTTTGAGACCATATTAACCTCAGCCAGTATATCTAATAAACAAAATTCCCATGAATGTAACAGCAAAAACCATAGAGTCTGTGGACCAGTAAAATGTCAGAATATAATTATTTGGGGGAGAAAGTTACCCTTATTTTTCTTTGCCAAGTAGGGGTCACAAAAACTAATCTATTCATAAAAGAAAGGATATTAATGGCAGGGGGGGAGGAGGAAATATAATATTAGACTCTAAAAATTTTGAAGTGAATTTAGCTTTAAAGAAAACCCAGGAGAGAGTCTCGCCTCAACAGAGATGGACCCCAGAGGCAAATGATCTAATTTAGCAACTGCATGAGGAAAGTGAGACAAAGAAGACTTGGCCACTTTGCCTAAGATCACACGTCAATATCTCAAATCTTGGGTTCACTGCCGTTTCCAGCACACAGACTCTGGAACTCGTTCCACAAGAAAAGCTAAGATCCTGCTGTAATGGCAACCCCTTATATTATTCCCCCTTATCTCGATGTCATTATCACCACTGGGTTTGGTTTTCCGTCTACACACATTTACGCTGAAATATTATATTTTGACATTATTTCTGGTAGCTGTAGCATGAAGAGTCTGCTAATAAGTGAGGCTTTTATAAACTGTACAGTCTCCAGAGGATCTGACCCATCCATCGCAATTCTCACCAATCAAATTTCTTTTCACTTTTCCTGATTCAACAATCCTATGTCCTTCAGAATACTGATTTCAAACATAAAAGCAGATCGAGTCACAAAAATAATTTGTAATCCTCCATTCATGATATACCATGGACAAGGAGTACAAGGTGGTGTGTTGGTTTTCTGCTTGCTTGTTTGGTTTGATTTCGTTTTTGGAATGATGAGAATATGGCTATTTAGTCAGGGAATACTTCTTCGAGATGGTGGGACTTAAACTTTGGCAGATAGAAGGCATTGTGAACACACAAATTCAAGATCCATATTCAATAGTGGATGAGTAGAAAAGAAGTAAATATGTCTTTTGAATTCTACCCAATTAAACGATAGTAGAACAAAACAGACACTTTTTGATTCTTTAATTCCTTCTAAGAGTAGATGCCCCTTCCTGGTGAAATTTAGTCTGTTTCAGCAAATGCGCATAAAAGAGAACTCGACAGTACAATGGGGTAATATTTAGAACCAGAAAGGAGAATTTACCAAAGGCACTGTAAAGGCCAATAAAACTTCATCCTTCTTGTTCTCATTAGACAGCCAACAGTGAATGACCTTGTCCTTCACAATGTCAAGCCCTGTGGTCTCAGGCTGCTTTTCCTGGTTTCAGATCTCTGATTACCCTCCTTTTCCCCTGGAACATTTTTCTAACTACATGGAAATGGTTTTTATGTTGACATTTCAAAGGTCACTCTACAGAATCTAAGGGTAGATTAAACCATTCTTTATGTATCAGTATGTGATTCTCATTTATCCTGTCACCAATTTCAAGACAGAGAATCAGTTGGTCCTCAAAGTTTAAAAAGTTCCTGCCACGATCAGGAGGAAACATAATTATTCATTATACAGCTAATAGATTAATAGCAACTTGCAATTATGATTACAGAACACACTAATGTCATTTTTTCCAGCGGTCAAAGCATACCTACTATATTTTCTCATCTAGGACTAACTTGGTTCAGTTCTGTGAACTTCACTAGGGTAAATCAATTATCACTTACCATTAATAAGCAGAGAGCTATCGGATCCTGGATATGAATAGTTTAGACGACCTGAAGGTAAAAGAAGGCCGTTACTAAATTTATTTTTTTCATAGATGGTTTAAACGTATTTGTAACAAAGCTGAATTAATAGCTTTAATAGGTAAGGTATTTTTAAAAAGCTTTATTATGGGATAAAACTTTGCTGTGCTAATGAACACAATGAGTCAGAGGACATGTCAATCAGCATGTTCACAAACATCCAAAAAGGGCAAGTTTGAAAGTGGGAAAACAAAATATCCCTCATATTTAACTATTTGCTCTCTAATTTCCAAATTCCCACACAAAGTAATTTCCTTTATAACATTATGTTCTAACACAAACTCATCATGATAGTTTTTTTGCTCCTTAAGTGTGAACATTTTCAGGTGTGCAGTTTTTTTTGTGCTTTTTTAAAAGTACGTAAGTAGCAGGAAGATTTCTCTATATAATTCATCACAAAAGCCCAGGCTTATAACTACATGTACAGACACACTAATAGGTTTAAATTCTCATTTGGGAGGAAATGCACAGAAGGTAAGCAAAACATATCACTGTACTTACATGTGACAGAAAATATCAAAGCCCAGAGCACAATGCCCAGAGCACAATAGGTGCTCAATAAATGCCGGGATGGTTTACTTCTGATTTGGAGGTGATTCAAAATCTAGTTTTGAACCTACAGTGGACACCCAAGATGTCCACCAAAAGAGAATCTGTGTTGGCACTAAAATTTTTGGAAGCCACAGCATCTTCTAGATTGGTAGCCACAAATAAAGGGAGGGAAACAGCAGTGGGGTGGATCTCTCCATTTATAAGGAATTACATTTCTGTTTTGGAGGAGTTTCTAAATATCTACACCACACAGTACCATGTACTACTTCTGGGGACACACCATACCCCTAGTTCTACTCTGTAAATTATAAACATTATCAGGGCAACAGTTTTAAGTCTCCATGTTCTACACGTTCATCTGCACCCGCCTTCCTAAGAATGGTGGAAAACCCTCTACAAGTCTAAAGAACCGACAGGAGAACGTGACTGTTAATTATCTACCACGGTCAGCACTTTGTAAATCGGGGAAAAGTGTGAGAATTTAAAACTGACTCTTAACTACAGACATTTCATTAGGAAATAGCACACTAAACTCTAATCCCACAGAATCACAGCAGACTCTCCGAAGGTATGGAAAAGTGGGTACGCAGAGGTTCTCGCACACCTTAAGGCTGAGGCAAGCCTTCCAACATGCCAGGAGGCTCTATCTAGCTCCAGGAAACACTGTGGGAACCAGAGCTAATATGTGGTCCTATCGCTCCACCAGCCATATATTTACAACTCCTCAGAAAGGAACTTTAGGCCTCAACTATCTTTCGATTTCTCAAATTCTGCTTCTTTGAAATAGTCTCCAAAGAAACGACCTCATGCCATGAAAAAAGAAAACTGTGCTCCATTGCTAATAGCTTTAGTTAACCCATGTCCAAAACTTGGGAGTCTAATATGAAACAAAATCTGAACTTCGTAATTTTCCTATACTTTAAGGCCAAATACAAGGATTATTATTAAGTTGTTAATTATTGCACTTAAATTTCAGTTTGCTCCTAGTTAGACTGAAGCTAGGGATGGAAATAGGAAAGGAGGAGGTAAAAGTTAATTCTGATATTCAACTTCTTCATGAAAGTTGGCTCAATTATTTAACGCTAATATACACAGCCAAGTATCCAAGTCGGGCGAATTCCATCTAAACTGCTTTTTTTTTTTTTTTTTTTAATTTTTTTTCAACGTTTTTTATTTATTTTTGGGACAGAGAGAGACAGAGCATGAATGGGGTAGGGGCAGAGAGAGAGGGAGACACAGAATCGGAAACAGGCTCCAGGCTCCGAGCCATCAGCCCAGAGCCCGACGCGGGGCTCGAACTCACGGACCGCGAGATCGTGACCTGGCTGAAGTCGGACGCTTAACCGACTGCGCCACCCAGGCGCCCCCCCATCTAAACTGCTTTTAACTATAAGCCTGGATTGTATGATCTGTCACAAGCATTTTTTTTTCTTTTTTTTTTTTTTAAAGCAGAGACTGGTGATGCTGGAAAAAGAACATGACCTTAACTGTTAAAAAAGTTAGGAGCGGGTGAGTAGTGTTTCTGAATCAGTTAACTCAAAGTAGCAGCTGATTTTCTGTAATGGAACACATGTACAAATTTTATTGCTGCAAAAACCCTCTAGTAAATAAGAGAACTATGATACATACCATTTTCATTTACCATTTCATTTTTTAAGTTGATGTAAGTCAACACAGAAACAAAAGTATTTAACTATATTAATCGAAGTTAAAAGGAAATGTTTTACTTCTAAGAAGATATTCTATTTTTTTTTTTTTTAATGCTAACATTCCAGGTGAAACCAGAACTGTTCCATATAAACTAAATGCCTCTTATCTGATGCCAAGAAGGGATAATCAACAATGAGAATCCAAAAAAGACAAAGGACCAAACTGGCTGGCCCAGTTTAAACAAACCAAGTTCCACCTTATCAGAAACTCACCTTTTGGGTATCTCTTTTAAGGAGAGAGAGATAAGAAGAATATTTCAACTTGACAGGCACAAAAATGTCCGTAATTCAGTTCTCAGAGTTTGCCTCAACGCACAGCTTCTGAGGAGATCCTACCCTTCACCGCCAAGGTAGGTGACCTTTGACACCTTTTCTGCTCTTCCGGACTTCTGAATGCAGTAACTCTACCCTTCAGCTAAGACAATAGGGCACTGAAGAATCAACAGCCAAGTTCATAGTTTAACTCTGAAAGTGATACTTGTTTTTAATTTTCTAACCTGGTCTTGTGATCTGAGTCCTGTCAAGCTGAATCAATTTTGGCCTCCAGGTAACAAATACACCTGTGACATTTTGTTAACCAATCAGTAATGTTTTCTACTTCAATTCAGAAAATATAAGCAATGTTATTTTTTTTTCAAAAAACTTTTTTTAAAACTTCATAATGCTTCCTTAACCTGACTGCCCTACCCTTCTGTAAATTCGTTCTACAATTAAAATATCTAAAGTCATCCATTGATGACATCCATCATGGATGACACATATCACTTCCTTTCTGGAAATCTTCCATAAACTCTCATTTTAAGTGCCATGGGACATTCAAGTCTTCCATAAGCCTTTTCATTCTCCTTGTACACCCTTCATTTCTCTGCTAATATTCCCTCTGTTCTACGGATGCCAATTTTTACAGACATTTCTGCGGTTTCTATTCCACAGCTAGATCACTGACAATCCCTTCTTTTGTCTGACAGTACTCTCTTCCTTTGTTCCCAAGGGAGGGGATTTTTCAAATCTTTTCTTTTTTTTCTGTCTTCAGATGCACCCTTTTCCAGTGCAACCTTCCCCAAAAGGCAACCCCCTTTCTAGATTAACTCACTAAGTTTTATTTCTAACTGTGTTGCAACAGCCAACCTTGTTAGGTAATCATCTAAATTTCTTTTTTTTTAATCTCTTTATCATAATAGCCCCCTTTAAGAATTAGACTTTTACCTAGGTACCTTGAGTTTCCTGTTTGAGTACCAGGTAAGCATTCAATGAGTTCATTCCACTGAAATTAAAATACCAGCATTTTACAAATGAATAAAGTGAAGTAGAACAAAAATAAATGAGCTATCTGAATATGAATATAATCCAGTGTTTGTGGGTTTTGTTTGGTTGGTTTTTTGATAACTCATCTATCTATAAATATAACCCAGGTTTTGGCACATTTAGAATTGAATTTCTCAAGGGAGAAGGAGGACACTGGGATTTCAGGCAAAGTGAACCTACTGGATAAAATTCAATCTTGGAAGGCTCTTAGTATTGATTATGTTATGAATATATAGAAATACTGCCTGGCTAGCCATCCTAATCTTAAGGGAGATTATGACAGAAAAATAGTAGTCCCTGGAGACCAGCTGGGGCATTTGGAGCCAGGAGCCCGGCATACATCATGCAGAAGGCAGAGACTATATTTGGTGCTATGACTCAACCTAGCCAAATACAGGCAACTGATACAGTGTGAGACTCTGGGGAACTACACTACCAAATTCTACAGCTCGGAAAAGATCTGTACTCCAGCTAGCCAATTTTATGCCAGGCATTTTTGCAAGTTGCAGAACCAATATTTACCAACCAGAATAAGAACTGCTGATGGGGGGGGGGGGGGCAGAAGTACCCAAAAGAACACTATGTACTATTACACTAAGACGAAAACTAAAGTAACCTTGTCAATGAGATGAAAGGAGGAAGGACTAGAAGGAGATACTCTGATACATTAGAGTATATATATGTATGCATTACTTTCAAAATTAGAGAAAAAGTTATTTTCTAAAACATTACCCAGATATTACTGCTACTGATGATTCGGCAGGAAATGATATAATAAATGCTACTATTTCAAACACAGAAATATACATAGACAAACACCGAAAAATGTCAAATGTTCTATAGTGCTATTCGATTTCATGCCACAACCTTCTTTTTCAGTCATGCCAGCATTGTCGGTGACGTGTGTAGCCTAAGGAATGATAATACGGGATAACTGCAAGGTTGCCCAAAATACAGCCATGCAGTCCTATATAAAGTAACGAGTGATGTAAAAGTCTAAGTTTTTTTGATTGACTCACCCTACAAAAACCTGGATACTCCGAGGAAAAGAGAAGGGTTTTCAGTGGACACCATTAAAATTTTCTAACAGGAAAAGGATAAGTATATAGGCTTAGGCCCATTTCTAAGGCAGAGTAAAGATTTATACACAGTACCAACATACATACATACATACATATACACTTGTTGTTTCACTGCAGTGTCCCTGCTAATTTTCTTTAGCTCACATTTAAGCAAGTCAAAGCTATACTGCCACCAATGAGTTTTTAAAGGAGGTGTTGCTCTACCTGCCTTTCTGCATCTGCGGTTTTTACCAACACTGCCTGAGACTTGCAGCAAGATGGCGCTGTGGGGACCTAGGCAACACAGAGCAAGGCTCAAAGAGATGTACAAAAAATTCAGTTT